TGCCTTTCGGATAGGACATTTCGAATTTGCACTGTCGTTTTGTACAGGCCGAACTTCGGAGCTAAACTGAAAACCGGTTCTGCTCGATGCCAGCGCCAACGGACCCAACGGTTTCGACTAAACGTAACAATAGAAATAAAAGCCATCTACCAGGGGTGCGTTCCAAAACCTACAGTAAAACTATAATTACATCTCTATACGTTTTGGATCGCAGCCCTGAAAGGTAAAATCCCCGCTCCGGGTGAGTATACCTGCTGCGTGCTATTAGAGCCTCGACGCTGCTCAAGAGATTTGTTGCGCTCGGAGGCCATAACTTCCGAACGGCTGCGAATTTCGATTTAAAACGTTGGGAACATATTCTTACAATGTTAAATAAACATTTTATGCAAAAAAAAAAAAATCGATTTTTTGAAAGTTCTAATTGGATTTCCCCCCTTAATGGCTTTGAAATCCCTGCTTGTTTGATTTTGAAATCTGTTAAAGAATAGCAGAAGTAATCAATTTTTCCAACTTACTCTGATGGTCAAATAGTCTCCTCTATTCTTAGCCTACCATCATATTTTAATAAAATTGATTATAATTAATTTAAAACATCTACACTTTGATTAAGTTAACATGTACTTTTCGTTTTACAGTTTTTGTTTTGAGACATACTCGGCGTTTTTTTTCTTTTGTAATCTTAATAAAACTTAAAACATAAGATTAGAAATAGTAAAGTTAAAACTTAAAACATAAGATTAGAAATAGTAAAGAAAACTTAAATCATAAATATGTTATATTATTAAATTATATGTTCCATGAGTCTTTCCGGATGACATGCCCGATGGCGGTCGTAGAGATACGCATAGACAGACTGCACGTAGCTGTCCGCGAGTGTACGCGTTGTCGGCGTGGGCGATTCCGTAATTAATCGAGCCGGCGAAACGAGCGAAATCGTAATGAGAGCTTACACCGGCCATTGACCATACACGCCGGATTGCGGCCGTGACGTAACGCGCGCGCGCGCGCGCACTCGTGTGCGTGTGGGCGCGGATGTTTCTGAGTGAAATTTAGGCGCTCGATTTAGGTGGACCGCGTATGTCGGCGCCTTACTCTGCCCGCTTGCGTAACGCCTGATGTGCCGCGTTTTATGATTTCACGTCGTGAAAACGGAAGTTTGTATGTTGTACAAATATCGCGCGCAATATTGGCAAGAACAAAACTGGCGAGGCAATAAAAACCAACGCAACGTGTGTATTATTTGCGAACACTCGTTCGATTAACACAATTAAATTTATAATTGATTATTGAACAGATCTGAGAGTCAATCTAAATTTATATTGTATTACTTTTATATTGCGTAAGGAGCCTTATGACTCGGAAGCAGTTTCGGCTAGAATAAAATCGACCATGGAACGTTCTTTTCTTAAAAAAACATTCTATATCTGTGATAATTTGTCATTCGTATTTGACTGTCTATGTCAGCGTAAACCGTTTGTAGTTCTTCCATTCTCTCTTTCCTTCTCTCTCTACATTCACACACACATACACATATGTATATATATATATATATATATATATATATATATATATATATATATATATATACACGTATAT